TAGGATCTATTGTGCTAGACTTTATATAAAACATATATAAGATTGTTCCTAGCCAAAAGCACGTGCAATTTATAAACAAATCTAAAAATTCCCTACGCTGTTACTACAGCAGTATATAATGTTACTAGTGAGTCTTTTGGGCTGCAAAAACCATTCCATCACAGCCATGACCACTGCAGCCAGACAGTGCAGAATGCCATTGCAAATGGCTGCAGGAGTTTAGACTGGCAGGACTGTTCTCTCAATGCAAAATGCCAAAACACAGCAGCTAAACTTGTTAGAAGTACTACTGGATCTGGAAGGACCACAGGTAGGTAGCAGTTCTTTTACATCTCATCTGACACCTAGGGACCTCCATCAACGCAAAGCCTCAGATAATTTAATAACTTCATATAACCTCCATGGAAAACAGCTCTCCTCTAAAACACTAGGGGTTTAAACTTCTACAATGGACTAGACAAAAAACACAATGTGAAGTGGAAGCCTCTCGTTTTATAGCCATTTTTGTCCTCTCAGAGCTTTATTGTAGGTGAAGAAGCATAGTAGAGGCCCTGACTCACTTAGGGGCATTTCAGGGCTTAGTGACAGTGAATCAGACTAGAAGCAGATTCTACTGGATTCCCATAGAAATGGTAGAACATATCCTAGTGTAACAGACACACAAAGGACTACCGTGTGTTTTTTAAAAAGGAACATTACTACAGCTTTGATTCAGCAAATTACTTAAGCATTTGCCCAACATTAGGTGGAACCCTAGATAACTGAAGTTGGCTGGCTGATACAAGTGGTAAGAGTTTCAAGGCAGGGCCCATCTTTTTATTACGTATTGGGACAGTGCCAAGTATTGAAGCAAGATGATGGCTCTCAAAAGTTCTGCAATGATTATAGCAACCCTTTAATGCTCAGATTTTTAAAATCATAAATCCAATCCAAGGTCTGGAGATGACAGATGCGACATCTGCTTGTAACATGTTTACATGTTTTGGTGCACGTGCTAAACCAGTGGTTCTCAAACTCATTAGAAGCATCCCTCAAACAATGCCAGCTCTTAGCTTTATTTTTTTACTACAGGACTAGGGAAAGAAATTACACATAAACCGGTATAAGTGATTGGAAACTGGTTCAAATCTGTAACAACAGATATTCAGTGCACATAAACTGCTTACAAAGTGGCCAAAACTGGTTTAAGATAAACCTGGAAGGATGTAGTATAACTGATCTAGGTTATATCAGTTTATTGAACTTCTGTCCCAGATCCCCTCCAGATGCACCTGCAGACCCCAGCATTCCAGGATGCTTTGCACCACCCCTGCAAGCCCCACCTTGCAGGATGGACAGGCTAGCCTTGGCCCAAACTGTCTGCTCCAGCCAAATAGGGAAGCATGCTCTAGCATCCCCCAGCTTCTGTCCTGGACCACTGTAGGACTGTGGCTGTGTTTTTGGGATAAAAAATGAATCTCTGTTCACTTGCTTAACCTGCGAAGATTGACTCTATTCAGCCTTGGACTTTTTGGCCATCTGTACTTAGTCTAGAAGAATTAAAAAAATACCACAATAGGTCAGAATAGTTTTGACACTGGGTCCTATTTAAAATCTCTAGATTTATCTTGCTTATCGTGTGTAGGAGTTTGCACAGCTAAGAGCACTAATACTGTGTGGTACCCTGAAGCACCCTTAAAAGAACTAAAAGAAGCCATGGTTGAGAATCAGTGTACTAACAGACAGGACAAGAAAGCGATCAGTGGGCAGCTGACAGCCACATGATTAACAACAAGGCCGGGTGGGATCAGTTGAGTGTCAGGCTGGGTACCTTTGCAAAAGCTTGTTTTTATTTTTTATTTAAAGATCCTAGGAGCATCTTTACTTTCCAAATACTGTGAAAAAACAACACTTACCCATGCAGAAGTCCCACAACCTCAACTTATTTATAAAGGCATTCAATATAAAAGCCAAATAAAATTAATTTGCAAGAGCCACTAGACTCTATCCAGACTGAGGGGGAATGACTTTGGGATACTTTATATATTCACAGTATGTTCAGTGATAACAACTCTTAGGTTATTCTCCAAAAGTGAAAGAAAAGCTTATCCAGATTACAAATGCAGCAGAGAGAGAAGCATCACCATTAAATAGATGATGCACTATCACCATTTAATAGTTGCAAAGAACTTTTCAACTTCAACATTTTTTTTCTGAAATGTGCAATTCTATTATGGCTTGAGCAGCAATTTTGGTTAGTTAGTTAAAAGATGTGGAGGTCAACACTATCAGTGTAGCTTGTACCCAAGTAAATGTTTAGTGTTTGGTCCCTCCAATAGGATCACTTAATGATGGTTTCCACAGTGTTCTTCTCCACTCACCTGAGGATGGCCCGTGCTGCAGGTTTGGGAGAAGGATGTCAGCATGTGTAGGAATCCCCAAGCTGCCTTTGGCTAATACAGGTACCAACAGCACTGAATTGTGGCCTAGGTTCCAGCACAGGGTGTACAAGGCCACCTGTGATTTTGGCTCATTTTGCAGGCCACACTGATGGTTGTGCTGCTGTAGTCTTATTACCATTAATACCCAACTGGACCCACCTGTGCCACAGTTATACTTCCAACCAAAATGCAAAGGTGCATTTCTCCTATGAATCAGGAGAAAAACACTATACCTTAACCTGAGAAGGTTAGCTTTTCACCCACAGGAAGCAGGAGACATGAAGACAATTCCTCCCTTATCTGAAAGTAGATGCACACCTCCTCCCTTTACACATGCTTAGGCACAATTCAGAAAAAAAAATCAAGATAAACCAGGAGCTTTATCTTTAGGAGCCTTAGGAAAACGATGAACTATTTTGGGTAAGAGAGGAATCTGAGAAGTAACAGATGAGAAAGCAATCATTTCTTTTGGTACAGGCCCCTGCCAAGCTGCCTAGCTTTCAGCAAAAAAGGAGGTAGGCTGGAGCTGAGCTCAATTTCAGATAAACTGTGATTAAATTTTGATCCTAGTTTCCAACAAATTTGTGAGCTTTGAAATTCCTTTAGACGTTGCACTGGTGCAGCAAGTAAAACATATACTTTGGATATAACCAGCATTCACACACATTCCATTCAAACAAGCAAATGAAAGTGAACACAAGAAGTCTACTTGAAAAATGACATTCTGCCCCTCCCTGGTTGATACATGTACCAAAAAGTATAAATAAGGCCATTTCCTTCTTCAGCTGCTTGAGAATTCAACAACAGTTTACAACAGGCATCTGGGGTGTGGAATCCTTTGTCTATATAAGGGGCATGGCCATGGATTTTTTATTTTATTTTTTTAACAGGACGCAGACAAAGACTGGACACAGTGTGGGGCAGATTTGTGGGTATCCCTGTATTGAGAGAGGAGTGGAAAAATTGTTCAGAGGTTGTGATAGAGGCCTGGTTTAGTCCTAAAAGCCTTGAGGAGAACTGCAAACAGGTGGATCCAGAAGGGAGACTGCAGTGATAATTAAAATAGTAAATTCAGAACACTGTTCCAATGGGCTCCTGGAGTAACTCCACTGAATCAAAGAGGAACAGACTTCCACTAAAGGATCCTAACACAGAATACTGCTTGGAAAATCCAGCTGGAGCTAGTTCCAGAAGCTTGGAGTAAGAATGTATAGCACCACTAAAAAGTTAGAAACAGTGAGCAAGCCTTTGCTTGCTGAATATTTCATTAAACAGCCTGCTGGCACATGGTAGCCAGCATAGGCTTTCAGACTGTAACTTCCTTCAGGCAAGGACTCTGTTCTGTGTTTGGACATCAGTACCTGCTAGGCTTTGGCTGCTAGCATTGTACAAGTTGGTTTTGCCTTTGAAAACCTGTGTTCAAACTTGTGTTGCCAGAGAAATTACACTTGCACATCTCTTAATACTGGTAAGTAGGTATATATCCATAATACAGAGCCAGGCCACAGCTGGGTGGCTTACTGCAAAAAGGAATATCACAAATTAGGAGGAGACATACTATCAGAACTGGCCAGGGGTGTTTACTCACCATGTTCCACCTCTAGTCTCAATTTACCCTGTGCTGCAAATCTCCTAGCACCAACTCCATACTGAAAAAACAGACAGCTGTAAAGGTACCTCTGGAAAAGGCATGGGGAGAGGCATACTAGGGATCCAGCAGCACCTGTAATTGGACAGTTTTCTTATGCGTTAGTTAGATAACTAAGGAGCTGATTCGCCCACACACCACTTAACAGAATGATGTTACAAGAGTTGTTCTTGACGAGAAAAAATACATTGTAATACCATTTATCATGTAGATTCTTTAAGCAAAAAATTCATAACACTAGCTTGTTACCATTCTAAAAAAATTAAAAAGAAGGAAATTAAAAGAGCAAAATACATTAAAGCAGCAGTAGTACTCACTCAAAATCAAAGAAAGGACATTGTGAATTAGGCCTTTTCTCTGCCTTTTGGTGCCACCCTGGCATTGTAACCCCTATAGTATTGTGAGTGAAACAAGCACACAGCACAGACAACATCATGTGTTGAAAGCCCTGACAATCAAAGCCTTGTAATGGCAGAACACAAAAGGCTTTTTGTCTATAACTGCCAGAATTATTCTAACCTACTTCTGAGTATTTTTTAATAACAGGTTTGGCTGAGGTGTTATATTATTTATGAAAGTTCTTCTATCAATCCCCTTGCAAATAGGATGCTGCAGAGTAAGTTTCAATTTTGAATTAAACCTTTATGTTACTGCACAGAATCGCTACCAACAAATCTTCATATTTGCTGTCAGAGCGCACGTTGGGTTACCTCCAAAATTACATGCAAGCGTGAAGAGGCAAAGGCAAAAAAACCCTTTCAAACCACTTAGAGCAAGTGTGGGTTGGGGAGAGAAAGAGGCTGCAGAATAATGAAGAATCTTTAGTTCTTGTTTGTTTCTTTGAGATATAGGTTACATGTTCATTTTAGTATCCAAAATTCATTCGCAAGTGATCAAAAGCAGTCGCAACACAGGAACAAAGGATTTACCTAGTGAGTCATCAAAGTGCTTTATTTTATAAAGCCTTGCTCATGTCTGGAGTGTAGTCTAAGCACTAAGATATACAATGTGAGTCTTCCTCACCCGTCCAAATAATGTTTATCAACAATAATGAGTGACAAAGACTGTTACAGACAAAAAGAAAGCTTTGTTGTAAGCTTCTAAAAAGCATATGCTAATTGGCCACAATTAAATATTTGCTTGAACAATGTATGTGTACCTCCTTTTTACTTCAGGGTCTCTCTGCAGTCTCATACCTTTAGAAGCCACTGCATACCTCAAAAAACAAACGTGTGTGATACCAGAGTTAACCTGGGGGACTGGGGTAGAGTGGGAGGAAAAAAAAAACAAAAAAAACAAGCCACAGTATCAACTTATTTAAATACATACAAATACAAATTGTACACGTACATTACAGTACTGCTAACATCACCAAGTCAAAGATGATAAAACCATGAGGGAAAAAACTGTATACAGCAATAAAGGAGGTATTGCCATTGGCTGCTGAAGATATCATGATTTGCAGCTATTTAAATAGATTTCTCTGAAGTAAGCACTACATACATTATGCACAGTTGCAGTCTTAATAGCACTGACATTAAGTTATTGGAGAAGGCATCCTGGCACTCCTGGGTTTAAGTTATAAATTATGGTGGGAAGGTGTGATTTTGTTTTTAAATTGCCTACAAAATCTAACTGTTTCAACAAAGAATTTTAAAGGCACAGCTTTAGCACAGTGTATAAGTAGGTAATAAACTTTAAGCATTTCTAATTTTGTGTCTTTTAAGCTTGGAACTGTTCAGGAAGATACAGGAAAAAAGAATGTAAATACAATATATTTGTTTAAATTGTTAACAGGTTAAAATAAACATGATCAACACAGTTTTAGGCAATGTATCATACAATCAAATTGGGTAAACAGTAAAACAAGTAATTTAAGATGATAAAAAGAACATCTGAAAAACCTCAAACAATTTTTCTCCATTTATTGTAAAAGAGATTCTACCATGGAGGTGAATGAGACGTTCACTTTAGTACACTACTGCATGTTACACCTTGAAAGATGACAGATTACCTCATCTGTACTGCAAAATAAACTTTACATGTAAACTTCAAAAATCACATACTGTACACAAACTCTGAAATTCAAAAGTATCCCTGTTTTCCTAATAATAATGTAAACAGTAAAATTCAGGGTTGATTTTTAGAGGGATAATTTATAATAAAATACCACTGTTTAAAAAGTACAACATAAGCATTTAAACTTCAGATTATCATTAAATTACAGGAGGGTAGAGATTTCTACCATTGCGTGCACTTTCCTGTGCTGAAAAATGTAGCTACTATTGCCCAAAACTATGCACTTCTTCCAATAAGCTTTTTCCCCCGTGTAACATTATTAGTTCCTATATTGCAAGAATATAAAACAATGAAAAAACTTCAGGTAATAAAAGTGAAATAAGCAGGGTTTTCTCTCAACATTAATTCGCTGTGGCAAAAACATATACACAGCATGAATATGGCATTAGCTCCTTGTAAGACATGAGACATTAACTCTTTGACGCTTCGGAGTCTGGATTTCCTGATGCAATGTGCTGATGCAAAGAAAATAAAAAAGCAGCAATAGAGCTAGGGAGCTAACAGGAAAAGCTTCCGGCACCAAGAGCTTAACGTTGCAGCTATTTTTTAAGGAGTGCCAGCGTGCAGGGTATAAGTGTAACACATTCTCAGTAAGGTTTCTATAATTATTATCATCATCATCATGAATACTGTCTTGCATCCTTTCAGTTCAAAAAATAAACTGATCCACAGTTTACAATTTGATACCAATATTGTAAATTTAACATGCATTTACTCCTCCCCCACCCCCACCCCACACCTCTTTGCTCATTCATTCCAAGTCAGCTAGTAGCATCAGAATGTTGCCTTCGCAATGCACTCCGAGTAAAGCTGAGCTATTTAATTAATTAATTTATTTATATTTTTATTTTTTTTGCACACACAAAAAGTCAGAAATAGCTAGAACTATGCTGGGAATATCAGGCAGCTGTTAAAGCGAATATTCCACCCTGTAGCGGTCATCTTTGCCAGCAGATGTAAACAATGGGGTTGCTTTCTGCAAGATGAACACTTCTCTGAGTTCCTTTTCCCCCCCTTATTCTTGTAGCCACTGCTGCTGTCCCCAGGTCTTGTGTCTGTCCTATTTAATGTGATAGGTTACGTCAAAATGTTGGCAATAAAGTCCAAGAAACGCTTTGAATACTGTTCAGGGTTAACTGTTGAAATCTCCGCACCAGCCTAGACAGAGAATTAAAAAAGAAAGGGGAGGGTGAAAGCAGTGTTATTTTTTGTGTTTTTATGTGTAAACAGTTGCTTACAAATTCCTTACTGATACTTCACAAAGTTAGGTGGACACATATAGGTACCCCTGCTGATGTCAATGAGAGTTTGTGTTGGGAGCGATTATAGCTACTACTGGCCTAATTGCAAGATCAGTCGCTCCATTTTTGGAGAATATCTTACTGTACCTTAAAATGCCTTCTATTTCCCAGCATATAATTATCTCACACTGCAGGTTTCTTTCAAGTGTCCTTCACATAAGAGATGGCCATGGGTTAGGACATGGATTTCTGTTTGTTTAACATATATAAAACTCTCTGAATGGCCACTTTATCTTTAAAAAACAAAAATCAGCTTGATAACAGTAACACTCTCTCACATATGCATATATTTACGTCCTAGGTCCACTGAAATACCCGCAGACCAACAGGCTCAGAATTTCACTACTGTTTTTCAGCAGAAGCCCTTTTTAAGAGCCCCTCTGCACACATGTGGATAGTGTTCGCCTTATTTTACAGATGGGAAAACTTGTGGCAATCAGCAGAAAACCTCCCATTGAGTTCAGTGAGAGTTGGATCAGTGTACAAGCAGTGAAACCGATTATGCATTAAGTGCTGTCAAATGAACAAAGTAAACTGCAAATACATTTTCTAATCTCTTCTAGCTGTAGTAATGTTAGCTGTTGCTAATAACAATAGTAGATAAAAAATAGTTCAGGCAGAGGTGTGATTTACATGCTGACTACATTTAAAGTCCATTAGTAACTGCCAGCTAATGACTGTAGAAGGGCTGCCTCCACTTTCAGCTGTCTTGGCAGTGTGTGGCAAAAATGATACATTTCCAAATTCATAAATAGGATTTATTGTTGAGAATTGTAAAGCAATTTGGAACAGTGAAGTAATACAAATTTATTTTGTTAAAAAGAAAAATAAGGACCTGATCCTGTACATCTAAGCAACTTAACCTGAATGAGCCCAGATGAGTAAAGTTGTTTAAAGTTATTCATGTATTTGAATGGTGACCCACAATAATGACAGAAGGAAAAATTTCTTATCTACTACAATACATGTGACAGTACTGTAGTTTGTAAAATATGTATATGTTTAATTAGCATAACTGAAAAACAAACATTATCTATATTGTGGTCTTCCATAAATCTAAAATGTTATATTGGGCCATTATATAACAAACATTCAGAAACAGCAGTGGAACTAGAGGAAGCAAAACACATACTTACACCATGCTTAACAGTTTTCGCTGCATGAGCTGCTTTCTTTTTTGCATCATAGTGAGTAAGAATGTCAATAATGGCCATAAAGTATACTTCCTTCCTAGGTGCACCTGCAAAATAGTGAACACATGGCAGCAAAAAAAATGTTAATCAGTGTATTATAAATCAACATTTCTGTATTTGGTACAAGAGACTGTAAAAGTCAATTGTCAGCTTAAGAGAAGGGATCTTCAGCCAAAGTTTTAGGCATGGAAGAAGTGCAGACTTGGGCCCTTTTTATTTAAAGATTAGCTGCACTCTTATTTTATGAAAGAAAGTGGAAAATAGTTCAAAGTAGAACACTACCAGACAGATATCAAAATATGATTGCTGATTTGATTCAGACATGCACTTCCAGTTACTCCATGATTGAGAGAAGTATAATTATGGACCACTGGCCAAGTGCATAGAGGCCGTACTTCTGTGTTAACCAACAAGACCTACTATTCATTTAAGGAGAAGACAATCTGATTTATCAATGAATATATATATAAAGCAGAGGCTTAAATAGAAAAGAGATACATTATCTCTCCTTAAACAAGCCGAAGGAAACAAAATAGTCCTTCAAAGTTTTCTGTACTGACTTAATAGCCCAGTTCTGTGCTTCTTCTGCAGAAGCCTTCCAAGCAACATTTTATGTGGAATACAGAATTGAGCTTCAAGTCTACATGTATTTTTAAAAGTAGTGATTTTTTGTATACATGTTAAGACAGCAATTTGTTCATTTTGCTGGATTACTGCTAATAGTATTGGCTTATCTGCCCGTGTAAAGAGCAGTTATGTGCAGTAAACAGATTTCCCAAAAGGAAAAACTGTTTTTCATGAAGTCTGACTACGAATCATTGTACCTCTACACAGCATGCTGTAGTGTAAGTAGCTCAACAAGTACATTAGCTGCTTGTGCTGTAGGAGAACTGTTTTACTGTGTTGTTAGACATCACAATATCCAAGAAATACATTATTAATTATCAAAGCAGAGCATTAGAGGTCTCTTCAACTTTTTTCTTGCTGCACCAAAAAATCAATTCATTTCCTTCTTTACAGCATAAATTATATACTTCAATACAATTTTACCTTTATGTAATTATAAGAGCTTTGAGATTTTGATACAAAAAGATGAAAACATCTTATACACAAAAATATTTATAGCAATACTGCTCACTTTCATGGGATTTTATGCCATAAACATCAATGTTTGGATCAAATTCTCCTGGAGGCAAAGGCGGAGAGCTGTTCAGTGTGTTTCCTGGACTGTCTGGAGGTGTTCCAATTGGGTGGGCTCCATCACTTTCCCCTTCATCTTCTCCATCATTCTCCTCACACTCTACTTCTTCCTGTTCAGCTCTCTCAACATCATGAATTCCAACCAGCAAGCTGTAGTCCATGAGTTTTAACTGGGCAAGAAACTAGAGGGCAAGAAAAAGCAAGATGACAATGTCACTGAAAAGTTTAAAATTTGCCTATGAATATGGGAAAATAAAAGATGAATGTCTGTTAAGAAAACAGAAACTCCATGAGGGGGTGGGTGGGATGATGGTTTAAGATGGTTTGAAAAAAATCTTCAGAACTGATGTACGAAGAAGACAACCCAAGGTGCATGATGAGTAGGGATCTGGATTTTCCGTTTTCCACAGAAAAATGGAGAAAACCACTGATTTCCCAGTTTTATCAGAGAAAACACAGATTTTCCCTTTTAGCAGAGAAACACACGGATTTCCTGCTTTTGCAAAGAGCAGAGTTCCAGCCTGCAAGAACTGTTTGCAAAGGGGCGGGAAACCCCCAGTCCAGCCTGGAGGGGGAGGGAGAAGGGCAGGGCCTGAGGCTCTCACTCTCCCAGGGCTTGCCTCAGGCTAACTTTTTGCTCCTGGAGTCTGTGTGGTGGTAAGTGGGGGCTGGGGGGCTGGAGGGAACAGCTGCAAGCTTCTGCTCCCCCATGACCCAGCGTGGCAGGGGGCACCGATGCTGCATGGGGATCTCCTTACTGTGTGTTGCCCCGGAGACACACCTCCTGCATGCAGAGCTGCAGTGAGGGCAGCTGCACCCCTTAAAGCAGGGGCAGGTGCAGGAGGTGTGTCACTGGGACAGTGCAGGGTGGGGAATGCAGCAGCGGTGAGATCCCTGCGCGGACCCACCAGGTTTGAGAGGCCCCAGGGGAGGGATCAGGCCAGCAGAGAACAGGGGCTCTGCTGCTCCCTGCTTCCCTCCCCTGGGGCCTCCAGAGCCTAGCAGATGCAACCCAGTACAGCTGTGGACAGCAGTGCCACGCGGGGATCTCGCCACTGCTCAGCCTCCCTGCTGCCCTGGTTATGTGCCTCCAGTGTCTGCCCCATGCTGCTGTGCACAGGGGGTGCATTGCCAGGGCAGCAGGGTGGCAAGAAATGGCAGTGAAGTTTTCTGCATAGCTCCTCTGCTCCCTGCCACACCAGGTCACGGGGGAGGGAAGCAGGGCATCAGGGAACAACAGACCCCCTCCTCACCACTGTTCCCTGCCACCCTGCTTCCTTCCCCTGGGGCCTTTGGTATCCAGGGGACACAACCTGGTGCAGCAGGTAGCAGTGGAGCCGCTGGGGATCTCCTTGCCACTGCTTCTCCCATGCCCCCCACAGCCTTGGTGACGTGCCTCTTGTGCACGGGGCTGCAGTGAGGGCAGCAGCGCAGGGCTGTGCCTCTCAAATCAGTGGTAGGCACTGGAGGCATGTTGCCAGGGCAGCCGGGGGGGGAGGAAGCAGTGGCTAGGAGATCCAGGGCAGCTTTGCTGCTGCCAGCCACACTGGGTCATGCCCCTCACGCTCTGCTCAGCTGTGCACAGCTGATCCTAGCTCCGGCTTTTGCTGCGGCCAAGTATGCCCTGTGCCACCACTGCTGCAGTGGCCCTAGCCACACTCAGACTGGCTGCTGCCTCCCCACCACACACAGCAATGTGCTCCCTCCCCCGCAGCAATGTGCTCTCTCCTTCGCAGCAGCAAGTGCTGGAGGCACGTCACCAGGGCCTGAGGGGGTCGGGGGCGAGCAGAGGCAAGGAGACCCTTGGCACCTAGCTCAGCTCTTTCCTGCTGCGCTGGGTTGTGTCACCTGGGCTCTGGAGGCCCTGGGGGACTGAAGCAGGGCAGGAGCCTGAGCCCACAGCCTGCACCTGCCCCATGTACAGGTCTGGGGGTTGAGTCCCCCTGCCCCCCGGACAGTGTGCGTGGCAGTGGGGAACTGACCCTCCCCCTCCCTCCCTCTCCCCCTACCTTGAAGGAGCCACCCATGGCCCTGTCCTGCGTCCCACTCGGGCCCTGCAGCCGCACATTGCAGCCCCAGGCCCCAAGGCCCACCCAGCTGGGTAGCAGCCTCAGCCTACGCCTGCCCTAGGTACAGATCTGGGGGGCACGGGTCCTCCTGTCTCCTGGGAGTGCATGCAGCAACAGGGAGCTGTCCCGCCTGAGGTCGCAGAAGGGGGGGAGTGGGGATAGGGGGCTGCAGATCTGGGTCCGTAGCCCTGGCAGCTAGAAGCTCCCTCTGGCAGGGCTGGGGGAGCAGGGTCTGTGGAGGGGCCTTTAGTTTTAATCATAGATTTTGGGTTTTTTAGCAGAAAATATGTGATTTTTTAGCAGAGAATTTGGTATTTTTTATCAGGGAAAACCAGGATCCCTGGTGATGGGACAGTTGAAGTAGCTGATGGCATTTTAAATGCACTTTATTATTTTGCTATGTAGAACTCACCATGCTTATATCTAGGCCTGTGGAAAATGCAATACTTTTATCATCTTTATAAGGTTAGGGGGGAAAGCACATGGGTGAATATGCATGCATATGCTTGCATATGTGCACGTGTGTACATGTATACTTGTGAATTTGGCCTCCAATGGTTCTACTTGCAATTGTTCATACAAACCCACTACATTTTATAAATGCCAGAGGTTCAATAGAGGTCCAAGACACGGGCGTCATATATTAAAATTTAAGAGGCACAAGCAGAGTCCTGTTGGGGCAACTTGTGCAGTGCTAGGGTCTGTGCTACGTTCTGTTGTAGTCTCTCATAGTACTCACAATTACATGAGTGTCAAGTTTCTTTGCAGCCTGTTGGAACTGCAAGTCTTTAGAAACATCTGAGATTACTTTTTGGGAAAACATGCAATTATCCAGCTGGAGAGGCTATCAGCAGAACTCATCTGTTTTACTAATCACACTAGCAACCCAGAGGTTGAATACCTCCTGTTGTAACCTATATTTTACCACCCTGGTCTACTAATGATGAACATCTTTAAGAGAATCTGATTTTCTCTTGTGAAGAGTCAGGCTCCTTGTGTTAGCAGCTTGATTATAACTATGTTATCTACTGTGTTTGTTTCACAGAGTAGTTTGTTAAGGCCTGACACACAACCATAATTCTTTTTTCCCTTTGGACTTCAAGCTGAGCTCAAGAAGACTGAAAGGGAGAGGGAGAAAATGGTTTCAAATACTGGATCCATTAACACGTAAAACATAAACCAGGGTTGCTCAACCTCCAGCTTGTGAACTAAATGTAGCCCATGGAGCCTTGGCATCCAGCCCATGGGGCTGCCCCAGGGTCAGAAGATTTGGCATTGGGGGAGCAGTGACCATTAATATAGCTACCCTCCCTGCCACACCGAATTCCCAAACCCCAGGCCCCACATGGCCCACTGTGCCCCATCACCTCCAGGGGGTCAGGCCACATTCCCTTCTTTCCCCTGCAGGGCCAAGCCATGCCCCCCAGCCCTCTACAGGGCCAGGCCAAGCCAGGGCCCTTCTCCTCCCACATGGGGCTGGGTTGAGCCTGAGCCACACCCTGCTTCTCCATAGGACCAAGCCATTGTCCCCCTTCCTCTGAGGAGCTGGTTTGGGGCCAGGCTGCCTGCCATCCCCCTCCCTGTAGTCAAATGGTCCCCACTATGCCCACCCTGAGTGCCAGATGGGGACTACTGTCCACATTTGACCTGTGGGCAGACAGGGCACTGTCTGCATGGCCTGCAAGAGGAAAGACAAAAGTTTGGGCACCATCGATATACACCATTGCTTTTGGATCTACATTTTGCTATAGTATATGACTAGAATCGTTCTTTCTTCATGGCCACTGCCCTGTACCTAATATAAGGGTGGACAAAATAAGGCCCGTGGGCCAGATCTGGTGTACCAAGGGATCTTGTCCAGCCTACAGTGGATCCCCGAGCCCTGCCCAGCCCAGCCCAGGAACATGGGGTAGCTTGGGCTGTGGCGCATGCAGCCAGTCCCGTTGTCTTGGGCATGCAGCAGGGCTGGGATGGTGCAGCTGCTGGACTCGCTTTCCGGCAGTCCCAGTGGCAGCTCCTTTTGGCTGCTGGAGCTTCTGGACCTGGCTCTGCTGCCTGTACACCCCAGCGCATCTGCCCTGCACCCACTGGTGGGGGCTGGGCTCACATGGGCAGGCAGATGGGATGGGGTTGCAGGCTAGCAGGGAGCAGGACAGGCAGGTAGGGCTAGGGCTGGTATTGAAGGGCAGTGACAGCACAGGGCTGGGGCCCAGGGCACAGCTGTGATCCACTGCCCGCATGTCAGTGGGACAGGCACTAGTTGGGACATAAAGGCTCTGCTTTGGGCCCTGGCCCCATGCTGTCACCGGCCCAAGATTCTGGTCCCAGCCGTGCCTGCCTGTCCCACTCATGGCCTCATCCTGTCTGCGCAGCTGCATACCCTGGCCACACGGGTCCCAGCTAGTCTCCATGGAGACCCTGGGATGGTGATAATGTAGGGACAGGAGCCGGGGCTGAGCCATGCCACAATACATTCCCTGCACACCTGTGCCCATGGTGCCTGTTGCAGGCGCAGGGAACATACTGCGGCTCTGCCCCCTGGCCCCAGTCCTGCAGTCACAACCCCACGATCATGGCCGTGCCTGCCCACCCCATTCCCAGAAGCCACTCCCTGCCTGCTGGCGGCCCCATTCCAGCTGCCTGGGCCAGAGTGGAGGAGAGCCACTTAGGGAGTTTTGGTGAGCTCTTGTGGGGGGGGAGGGGGCTCAGAGGAAGTGGGGTGGGGGGTTCTGACCAGGCCTGTGGCAGCTCACCAAAACTTCCTAAGTGGCCCTCGGGCCCAAATAATTGCACACCCCTAACCTAATAGCTAACCTCTGTGGACCCTGGTACAGTCACTTGTATCATCCCCAGATTGCCTGCCTTGAACAACCCAGGCTCTGTGGTGGGCGGCAGGGGGCATGCCCAGTGCCTGGGCTGCTGGTGGCAAGGAGACTGCAAGAGGCTGCACTGGAGTCTGCAAAACCTAGCCACAGGTGTTAATCCACTCTTCCCCCTCCCCTGCCCTGACACCTGGTTGCTGCTGGGGCACCACATGGCTTCCTCCCCCCTACCCCTTCCCTTCTGGACTGCCTCCCACCCCATGCTAAATGATGACTAGTAAGCTATAACTGGTTATCACTGGCCTTATCAGTTAGACATTTAACTGTTCACAACCCTAATGGGGAGCAGACACAAAGGTTAGAGAGGGAGATGGAGACAAAGGGAACAAAAAGGCAAGGAGAGTGAACAGAAACTAGGGAGTGCAGACAGTGAATGATGATAAGGAGTAGTAGGACAGAGGTGTGCTGTAGCTTGAAAGCAAAGCGGAGGAACAAAGATTATGTAGAAAAACTCATGGAGCATGTACAGGTGACACCAGTAGAGCGATAGCGAAGAGATGATAATTTTTGCTGTGGGTGATAATCTGGAAAACCGGTGAAGGTGACTATAGCCATTGAAGAGGACGGGAAGTATGGCTTGAAACTAGATTTTGACAGAAGAGAGAGAGAGAGAGATGAAAGAGCTGTTTCCAGAAGCGTTGCAAAGGAACAAATTATAAGATTTATCAAGATCCTGTATGTAAGGTGAGGAGGAAAAGGAGGAATCAAAGAGAACTCAAGTGCTGGGGAATAACATATAACACAACACAACACTTGTCCTCCCAATGTTGATGGAGCAGAGCAAGAGTTTAAGAGGAAAAATGAAGAGTAGTTTTATGGTTCCTCAGCCTGATGAAGGGTGTTTGTACCCGAAAGCTTGCAGAGAAAAATTTTTCCAACTATTTTAGTTGATCTAATAAAAGATATTGGATTTACCCAAAGATTCTTGTCTGAGTAGTTTTAACTGCTTTTAGCTTAAGGAAGTGAAAGACCCAATGACAGGGACCAAATAAGAAATGAGCCTGAAGAAGGGCTGGAGAGCTAGACTGAGGTGTTGTTAATATAGAAGTGATGAGGTTCCACAGAAGTGGCCAGTGTTGGCTAGATGGCAGGTGTAGTTGAGGGGGAAATGAGAGTACCCAAGCAGATCTTTGAAGAACTTAACTAAAGGAAGGCAGAGGGAAGATCTACCAATGACATGGCTGAAAACAGTCAGTAAAGAACAATATTGTGGAAACTCAAGGAAGAAAGGGTTCTTGAAGTTGGTGGCTTATGGCTGCAGATGAATTGGCTTGAGGAAAGATCACCACATTAGCAATGGAAAGACAATTCCTTGCTGATTTTTGTGAGGACAGGTTTGTCGTCTGAGAGGGTGGGAAGTGAGAGAAGGGAACTGAATAGAGTGCTGGAGGGCAACACACCAGTGGCAGAGTTGGTTTAGAGTGCATTTAGCTATAAATATCGTGTAATGAAATAATGATTTTTTTAAGTGTTCTGCATTTGTTTAATATATACTCAAAACTGAGTGTTTATGCACTGGATAAAAAATACACTCATACTTTGGGCAAGTCAGCTCATTCTGTTCTTGTTCAGATTGAGCAGTTAGTTGATAAAAAAAGTCTAGATTTTGGTCTCCAATTATTTACCATAATGGTCTGCATCCAAGTTAAATGCTGCTGCTGTATAGATTTCAACTGTCAGTACTAAGGAAGCCACTCAGAATGGGATTATAAAACTGTCATTATAAAATTTGCCCTCATATTTAAAAACACAGTGAAAGACGATAAGCAGAACAACATGCAATCTGTGTTTTGGAGATAAAATATCTACTGTATTCATTGCATTTCTTAAAATCTTCTTTACACCCTAAATTACTGTAAAAGGTTTAGTCAGCATAAATGTTACATGCTTTAAGAAAGGCTCAGGCATATAAACCCAAAACTTCACCCATCCTAAACCTGCTAGAACTGGAGAACAAATCTTTTAGCTTAATGTTTTATACAACGTATTCATGTGTTTATATAACATATACATATTCATAATCCACCACTCATTCCACTGATGAGAAATTAACCTACTTAAAGCAATAGACCATTCTGTAAATCCCACTAAGACACAATAGTCTGTGCTTTGCAGCAGCTAAACCATCAAATGCAAATCTCACAACTGTGCTAAGATCAGTCAGTTATGTCTGTGCATAATGATGTTTCAACATAAGATGCTGATGGCCTGTTAAACCAAATAGCCATGTTGATATCAATTCTATTCAAAAGGTGGAGAAATATTTTAAGCCTTTCCTGGGCTACATGGCTAGTGGAAACATTTTTTGGCAAAATCTGGCATTATTGCTAAAACATCAAAACCAGTTGTATGAATTCAGTTAGGAAATATTCAATTTCCTTGTTTCAGTGACTAAAACCTCCTAGCTTTATTTACTAAACAGGCTTCTATGATAAAACTGTTTTACTCTGAGCCAAATCAGTTTTTAATATTACATACAGCACATCAAGTGGTCTTTTCCTGCCCAAGTGCAGGGGGGGCTGGACTTGATGATCTGTAAAGTCCCTTTCAGCCCCTAACAGCTATGAAAGTATGAAAACAATATTTTTACATTGAACACTGACTGTTTGTTGAGTATAGCATAAACATCTAAGAACGCAAGTAGTGGCATACTGCTTCAGGGCCACCACTGGTCTATTTAGTCCAGTAATCTACCCGAGAGTGGCAGGAGTACATGCTTTAGAGAGAGGGTATATGTAAAGGGCACATCTAGGATAATTCATCCCCTTGCAGCTGGTATCCACCATTGTTGGTTTGGAGGTGCCAGAGGATACACCCTTGGCTGTTCTGTTTAATAACCAGGGATCCTGGTTTTCCCTGATAAAAAATAGTAAATTCTCTGATAAAAGACCCAGGGAAGGGGCTGTGGGGAAGGGGCTGGGGGCCAGATCGAGAGGTGGGTATCTCTGTGCCCGCTCTCAGGGCCAGGGCTGGGGGGGGCGAGGGCAGTGGTGCCCCTCTGCAGGCCACACGCAGCAGTCAAATGGGAGGGTTCACACATGGTGGCCGCCAATGCACTGTGCCACCACTGCCGCACCCTTCGCTGCCTTCCTACGGCCGGCTGCATGGCTCCGCAGGCAAACGATGCAGTGGCAGCGGTGGCTGCGCATCTCCTGGCCAGCCGGCCAGTCAGCAGTGGGGGGGCTCACATGCAGCAGTCACTCCACTTTTTTCTCCAACACCTCCTCAGCCAGCTTTCCTCCCAACCCTGCCCCACAGCCCCCAAGCCCCACTTACATTAGACTCCAGGTGAGTGAGCCTGAGTCCAGCCTTGGCTGGCTGAGGCACTCAGGACTTGCCCTTCCCCCTCTCAACAGGTGGGGGTTTCCTGCCCCTTTTGCAGGCTGCCTGCCTCTACTGCCACTGGTCTGTTGCCCTCCAGCGCTCTATTCAATTCCCTTCTCTCACTTCCCTCCCTCTCAGACAACAAACCTGTCCTCACAAAAATCAACAAGGAGTTGTCTTTCCAATGCAAATGTAGTGATTTTCCTCCAAGCCAATTCATCTGCAGCCATAAGCCACCCACTTCAAGAACTCAGCCAGCCTGCAGAGCTCTTTGCAAAGGGGGGAAATCCATGGGTCTCTCTAAATGGGTATAGTTAATAACTATTAATAGATCCATCATCCATTAATTTCTCTTGTCCAGGGGTCAGCAACATTTTTGGGTAGAGTGCCAAAAACACTCACAACTTTGGCTTGTAAGATGTTGGTATGCCAGGGATGGATGGCACGGGAGCTGGGAGGAGCCCAATTTTGTGGCAGCACAGCCCTAGTCCCATCCCTCAGGCACACATGCCAAGGAAAACACCTTTGTGTGCCACGCTCTGGCACATGTGCTGGTGTTTGTCTATATCTGGTCTAGTCCCTTTTTGAACCTAGCAACACTATCTACCTCTACAATCTCCTGTGGCAATGAGCTCCACAAGTTAACTCCATGCTATGTAAAAAAGTACTTTTCTTGTTATTTTTAATAGTCTTCTGTTACTTTCAGTGGGTGCCCCCTAGTTCTAGTGTTCTAGGACTTGGCGAATGGCAGTTCTTTATTCGCTTTGCCAACATCCGTCATGATTTTATAGACCTCTATCATATCCCCTCAGCTTTCTCCTTTCCAAACTTACAGAGTCCTAGCCTTTTTATTCTCTCCTGATATAGCAGCTGCTCCATACCCGTAATCATCTTGGATGCCCTTCTCTATACCTTTTCTAACTCTATTACTTGCTTTTTGCAGTTTTGGAGACCAGACCTGTGTGCACAGTATTGAAGATGGGAGCACACCATAGATTTGTATAGCGACACCATATTTTCTGTTTTGTTTTCAGTTCCCATCTTAATGATACCCAATATTGTATTAGTGTAAAATGAGCACAGGATTAAAATAGTGAGTAGAAGTGTTGTATGCAAGCACATGATATACTCAGACTACTACAGGATGGTGCAGAACAACATTGATATTAATAGAGGGAATGACACTAACAGAGGAAATAAGAACACGAATAAGACGACCTGTATTCTTTGCTACTGACATAACAGAAGGACTTGGGCAAGCTGCAATTTTGCTGTATATTGAAAAACAATTATCACCTCCCAGGAGTATTATGTTATTTAATGCTTGTAAAGAATTAAGTGGTAAGCAGTAGCATCATTAGCATCATGCTACCATTATATCAAGACAGGGCAATGTTGGACAACCAGCCATGACACCAGGGATCCTTATCAAGTCAGCCAAAGCAGCAAAAAGGAGTTCCTGAAAGTTAAACTGTATTTTATTTAAAAAGTAATGTTTTTACCCAATACATTCAACATTAGTTAATGATTTGAGCTATCAATAGTCTTGTACAGCAGCTGCACTTGCAACTTACTGGGGTAATTGCAATTTGCTGCACAATGTGGCAAGTGATACAGAACTGAGCAGATCAGTCTTACCTCAACATCCTTTTTGAGCTTTTCAAGGAACATCTTTTTGTTGTTTTCATCAATATGAATCTTTTGGCCATCATTAATAAAATCATTGTCTTTGAATGTCGGCAGTTCTTTGGCCTAAAATAAACCCAAAACCAATGAGTAAGAGATATAATATAGAGGTCAATGCACTAAAATTGTTCATTCAATCTGTAGGCACAAGTAAGGGGTGATTCACAAATCCCAAAATGCAAGGTGTCACTACTGACCAAAAGAGGGCACTAGTGAGCTATAACAATGGAAAGCCTTAGCACTTCTAATGCTTCATTCCCTATAGTCAAATACACCAGCATCATTCCCCTTCTCGTAACTATAATTTGCCTTCATGATTCATCAAAGTTGTAAGTAGCTTGCTATTTATAACACCCATTCTCAATAAATTTAACTGACTTAAACAAAAATCATTCAACTCAATTTGTTTCCTCAAACATTCTTATTTACCTTCTAGTCTGTGTGCTTCTTCTAAGTTGCCATTTGTCAAGGATGACAGACAACCAATAAAGCTCCATTTATAATCCTTACTCCACCACCACCAGGTCACAACAGAAATATGCAGTACTACATACAGCCCATTCTAAACTTATGCTGTCTCTTTAACGGTCCTCTGTGTACTGCACGTATCAAAATCATAGAGAAAGGCAGGCCAGATTATATCTTTGCAGTCATTCTGAACAGTATCAAGTGTCTAATACCACAGAGTAAAATATAGATAGATGAGTAATCACAAGCTACATAAAATTACCCATGAATGGTGAATGTCAAAGTAGACTGTTGCCTTTTTAAATACATATTTAAACATTCCAGCTATTAAAATACAAATTCAGATAAGTATTTCTGTTACTCTTCCACAGGAAAGAGGTGCAACTGAAAGAAAGAAAACCATATTGCACAAACAAGATTTTTTTGCTAAGAATATTTAAAATAACTACTGATTTTGGGTGCCCAGTTTGAAATTACGTCAGTGTTGTCAACCGGGGTTACGTATACCCCTAGGGGTACTTAAAAAGGTCATAAGGGGTACACAGAATGAATGCAGTATACTTTCAAATTGTTTACCATACACATGCATAATATGTGGAAGTCATGTTGCATAGATACTGTAGCTATGTGGCCCTGCTGGCTCAGACGGGGACTATGTCGGTCGTGAACTCACCCATGAACTGAGGTTAATTAATGTAAAGTCATAGCTGTGCCCTTCAAGAAATACACACACACACACGCTCCCCTGCAGCCCCTTTTATCTCCCAGCTGTCACTCCACCCTGCAGCCACCCCCACCAATCACTGCCCTTCCTCCATGCTCCATGTGAGTGGCTGCAGTCTCCTCTCCCTGTCCAGCATGTGGGGATCATAGATGAAGGGAAAAAAATTATTTGGGGAGAGCCAAGCATGTCCGTGCATATGTGCACACATGCACTCCACACCTGCCCCAGCAGGTAAGTCTGCGGGGGAAAGGGGGAGGGGAGGGAGAAATGGCATGGGGGGGTAGATTGAGGGCCCCCACAGTGAGGGAGGGAGTGGGGCACAGGCAGGGGCAGGGTCTGGGGTGAATGGGGTCCCAGCTGGGTTGGATGGTGGGACAATCAGAGCCCAGGAGGCTCATCCAGGGTTGCAGGGGGCTCCTACTGCTGTGCACACCCCAGTGGAGACTCAGGTGGCACATGCTCCAACCCTCCAATCTGTGCATGGGGCAGAGGTGGATGCACTTTGAGCCCCACTACAGCTGCTGCTGCAACGCCACGTGTCCTGCTACTGGGTGGGCAAGGGGCATGGCACAGCCCCACTGTAGCAGGCACGTGGTGTTGCGCAGTTCCTGGAGCAGCTACAGCAGTGCACAAAAAAATATAAAGGGGTATATGAGCTGAAACTTTGAGACAGAAGGGATACACTTGTTAAAAAAGGTTGAAAACCTCTGCCTTATGTGGGTGTTGTTTATGAGGACAGATGCACAGTAGCCTCTGTGTGTCTGATGTTAAGCATCCAAACCGCGAAGCACCCAAAAGTAGTATTTGCCTTTTGTACAGTCTTGATCTATGTGAACGAGGCTACAGATAGGGATGATTAGAAAACAACAACATATTGGGCAGGACAGGACAGGCATACCTTTACAGCTTTCATAGGCAACAGCCTGCTTTGTCAGATGCTATGAATGGACTGGTAAAAAGATAGGGTTGTATGAAGAAGGGAATAGGACAAGGGGAGAAGACATTGCTAAGAGGTTATAAAGTGGATTGACTAGATCAAAGAAAAATATGCTAGAACATGCATGTCATAGCACTCTGTGTTAAAATAGGTATTGTGCAGGTTTCATGCTCAATAAATAAGGGGCCACTTCAAAAACATTAATTAATATTAATCTACTGAATACTGCACTTTCCAATGCACCATTTTATTTTGTTTTCCTTCACAAACCCAAATGGAAAAAGTGACACGTGAGATTCATCTCCCCTACCCTGCAAATGTACAAAAACATAGAATCAAAAGGACAATACCACAGTAGACAAGGCAAATATTTAAACTGTCCTCAAGTGTTTTTATATATCCACCCCCTTAATATTGAAAAACTTGTTTTGCCTTTCAAACTTTGGTTGCAAACAAGAGTAGATGGACTGCTTTGATTCCACAATAGCAACAGACTCATTTCCTGGAGTCTGCAGGTTGCTGAAAAACCCTATGATGAATATTCTAGCTGCACTTCCTTAGAAATATGACCTTCTTCCACAATGCCACAAGAAACCCTAAGTTATTAGATGAAGTTGGCCCCAAACGAAACCCTCTTAACTTCCAAAACCCACAAACTTTGGGAAAAAAGCTGACATCTGAACTTGGCATCTCCAAAACATTACTATTTGGGAAATATTACATTCTAGCTTGTCAATAATGCCATAACTTTGCTCTTGGAAAGAGTCTTCTATTTTAGTTAAAAAAAAATAAAATTAAAAGACAGCTGTGACAACATTTCTTCACTGGATTCTGGTAATATAGACAGCCTATAATTGTCTGAAGTGATCTGATGTTTAACCTAGAACACTGAGACAGCATCATGAAGGTATTTAAGAAGCAAACAAGAGGTGTTTATTATAGTCTGACAGCATATATCAGTTATCTTTCTGGCTATCTCAGATAAGTGGTTTGGGATGGAAAAAGAGTAGGAAGGAACAGATAAAATATTTAGTATTAACAGCTGTACAGCTTATTCTCAACCTAGGAAATTATCACATAACTGTAGGCTGACTCCAGAGAGGAGGGACTGGGGATGGAGGGATGCTGCCAAAACAGGGAATGGAACCTAACAAGCGGGATGTTTGCAACTGGAGGGAAGGAGGCTTGAATGGAATTGCCGAATATCTGAGAAAAAGCAGTATGAAATCATAGAATCAGAGAAGTAGGGCTGGAAGGGTCCTCCAAAAGCTATCTAGAGCAAGTAAGTGAACAGGGGCAGTTTACAAGCACTTCAGTGGGAGCAAGAGGAAGGAGCCAGGCACCAGATCCTGCTCTGGGAAGATAAGTGAGCCAGGGCTGCCTGTGTGCTTGTCTTGCTGAGTGTTTATTTGGTGGGCTGTGTGCATTTTGGGCATGTGCTCTAAGTAGCTGGGAGTGCTGCTAGCTGAGTGATTGCCGTCTGTGTCTAACAACAGCCCTAACAAGGGGACAGAGACAGTCGAGGTTCAGCAGTGTATAAAAGGAAACTCCCAGATATCACGGAGTGAATGAACAGGGGCAGCAAACAGGACAGTTTGCAAGCAGTTCTCAAGTCAGTTTGCCACCCTCTTCTTTCAAGGGGAGCCTTTAATATAAGCTTTCTTTAATTAAGAGTAGCTAACCTACATATAGTTCGCATAAATAGCTAAAACACCGCACTTAGACTAATACTTAAGCCTCTTGCTTAACTAGTCGCAAGTGAGGAGGAGTTTGCTAGGGAGATTGCTATGAACTCTGTCATTGCCTTCCTTCACTGTAAACCTGATGATAAGAAGTAAGGAAAAGAGAACCTTTTGGGATCAAGGAGCCATGAACAGGCCAGCTTAGAGGGAAGTTTGCTAGGGAAGGTCTGCCTGGAAAGAGGGGCAGGAAGAGGTAGCAGATTAAGAGACTCAGAGAAATGGCTGGAGGATATCGCAATGCCACTGCCACTTCTTCCCTTGTTTTTGCTATGAGTTGTCTGTCCAGGAAGGACTGCTTACTGTTGAGCCTTCCACCCAGGTCCTGGTTTAGCACATGGAGACTGGCCTGCTGATTCCTTCCAATGACAGCCAGGTGGGGAAGTGCCTACAATGTGAGCAGTGCCTCCTGGTGGTGCATCTCAGAGAGCAGGCAAGGGAGCTATAGGAGGAGGTGCCAGGCTCCAAAGCATCCTCCACCATGAAGACTTCATCAGTTCAGTGCTGGACGAGATGTCTAGGACTGTGGAGGAAGAACTGCCAGAGGCAGTGCTAGAGAAGTACATGGAAGAGGAAGGTGGAAGCTGGAAGCTTATAACTTCTGGCAGCAAGTGGAAGTCTTTATTTCCACCTACAGCAGTTTGTTTGGAGAACAGATATGGAGCCATAGCAACAGAGGAGGAGCACGTTCTATTGATGGAGGCAGCCAGACCAGGCGTACCCAAACTGGGGAGGATTGAGACCACTGCCACCAAGACGAAGTGATGGGTGGTGGTTGGAGACTCCTTTCTGCAGGGGACGAGGCCATCCATCTGCCAGCCTGACCTGTTGTCTCAGGTGGTCTACTGCTTGCCTGCAGCTCAGATCCAAGATGTCATAGAAGAATTACCAAGATACATCCAGCCTACTGACGACTACCCTACACTGCTCATCCTTGTAGACATTAACGCTACTGTCAGGGGTGACCCTAAGTAGATCAGAAATGACTACAGGGCTCTGGGTGCACAAGTGAAGGGACAGGTGCTCAGGTGGCATTTTTAATCCTTTTAGTCAAAAGGGGAGGGCCTGGGCATCCTGCAAATCAATGCATGGTTGCACAGATGGTGTCACCAGCAGACCTTTGGCTTTTTCAATCATGAAATGTTATTCCAAGAAGGAGTGCTAGGAAGAGACTGGATCCGTCTGATGATGAAGGGAA